AGATTGTGAAGACCATGCCCTACTGAATGAATCAGTAATGGTGGTCATGGGAGTGGTTCTGAGGGCTTTAAAAAGAGAGCACATGAGAATCTCTCTCTCTGTTCTGCCACTTTCTGCCATGTGAGACCCCTGCATTGCTGTACAGCCACCACCAAGAAGACCCTCACCAGACGTGTTCCCTGGACTTTGGACTTCCTAACCCCTTACACTGTAAGCAATAAATTTTGTTTTTTTACATACTACCCAGTTCCAGGTATTTTGTTATAAGCAACAGAAACAGACTAATACACCCCCTATTCCAAACATATCTACAAACCTATCTGCACCTATTTCCACCTTTTCTACTTGTCATCTGAATCCAATCACCTCTCAACTTGTCAAAAACATCACTCCTGTATTTATCACAGTTTACTTTTACAACAAGCTGTCCCTCTTCTGCCTCATTTCCATCAGCATAAAAACATGCCCTTGCTATCTTCCATTTATTACTCCCTTGACCCCATATACCTCCTCATGTCTATGCACATTTTCACAACTTTGTGAAAAAGTTATCTCTATTACTTCCCCCTAGCTCAAGTCTCTTGAATCCACTCCAGGAAGGTTTTCTCCTCCAACATTCTAGTCAAACTGCTTATGTCAAGACTTTGACTGGAGGGAATGGACATCTTTGGGTGAGAAGTACATGCAGTCATGAGGAAAAGAAGGATGCTCATTCAGGCAGCTCATGTGAAACAACCTTGGTGATTGAGGAGGATACAGATCCCCATGCCATATCACTTTCCCAATCTAAAAGGAGCGCTCAGAACCAGAGAGACAGAGCAGAGGCATCAGATACTCTGGGAGTTAATGTTATATCCAAGAGCAGTACAAAAGAAGAAAAAGGTGAAAGTAGATGTTTTCTACATTTGGATGCTGACTGAAGGTACTAGATGTAAAGAACAAGGAAAGTACAGTATCATGGAAACAAAAACAAAGACAGGGAGTGGAAGAGATAGTAAGGACCTGGAGGTCACAGGAATAAATGATGCCAAGGGCTCAGAGGGAGAAGTTAACATCTGTAAATGGTTTCCTTTGAGGAATAAAGTGATAGGAAAAGGTAAAGCAAATGCAAAATATGATCTCAAACAAAAATAAATCACCAATACAGATGACACAGTACTTACCCAACAGCTACTAAATCTTCATGATGAGGTGAGCAAGTGAGACAGAAAATTGTCCGGGGTTCTATAAAGAGGTGCTGGCTGTCATTTCTGTTAAACCAGTAACAGAAAACTACTCCTTTTTCATCCCCAGACACTATTAAGTCCTTTACTAGAGGAGACCAATGCAGTGCTGATATTGTATGCTTTAAAACAAAACAAAAATGTATTTGTTTCTCATTTGTCAATGCTGAATTTTTAACCTGTGTCACTAACCAACATAATGCTAGGTACATTATAGGTATTTAATACATACTTGTTAATCCTACTTGTATAGCAACACTATATTAATAAAATGATTTTAAAAGTTTAGACTATTGGAAACTAAAGAATCATTTATTTTTTTTCTTCCTTTAATAGATTAATACAAAGTTTTTACAAAGATTAAGTAGGTCTTTTTCCCGTGTCCGGCAACGGATCGCAACCCTCAACCCTCAGTGTTGCCCCCGTACCGGACCGGGGACCGGTGACGGGATCGCAAGCCTCGCGCCTCGCTCAGCCAGTGAGCGGGAGCCGGTCTGTACGTGGGATCCGAACCCTCGGACGGGAGCGCTGCCGCGCTTCCCAAGCGGCGCACTATCCAGTGCGCCACCGGGCCGGCCCTTAAGTAGGTCTTTTACTTTCCTTTGTTCATGGTCACAAAAGGCAAGTATATCAAGTAATCATCTGGTTACTTTTATTTATTTATTTATCTTTTAAAAAATATGACCGGTAAGGGAATCTTAATCCTTGACTTGGTGTTATCAGCACCACGCTCTCCCAAGAGAGCCACGGGCTGGCCCAATTATCTGGTTTAGAAATGATTTTCATTCACTCATTTACAGTTTATTCAGAAGTCTATTTTATGTAAACAACCAGATAGTAAATGTTTTAGACTTTGCCCCATCTCTGTTGCAACTACTTAACTCTGCTGTTGTAGCATGAAAGCAGCCATAGACAATACTTAAATGAATAAGTGTGGCTGTATTATAATAAAGCTATCTGCAAAAACCAGTGCCAAAGCAGTTGGCCAACTTCTGGTTTATATGCATCTCTCAAAAAAGTTTTGAGATACCTTACAAAATACAGCTTCTAATTAATGAACACAGTTAGAACACCTTGCATAGATAAGCTAGCAAAACTATACTTGAAAGAAAAGAATTCTCAGCAGATATGTAGAAATAGTCTGAGAACCCAGTAACCCATGGTACCTGGTGGAGTGCATGTTCTGTCACAACTGTTTTTGTCTCTACATCCCAGATTTTCACAGTCCCGTCATCAGAGCTGGTGGCACAGAGATTGTATTGACCAGGGTGATGAGAAAACGTGAAGCCAGAGACCCTTTCGGTGTGTCCCACCAACTCTCCTATGACTTTAAGCAAAACCAGACAATAGGTTAATTAGGTTAATTAAGGTGCAGTCCAAGATTCCTGGCAGAATCAACTGCTGTAGGACGATGAGTGAGAGAGCATACTCTGGAGTTACTTAACCCATGGTATAACAAAAATATCTACGGACTCAACCAGAAACCCTAAGTGCTGATATTGGCGCTGCTACATGACTTCAGACAAGTTATTGAGCCTCAGTTTTCTCAACTGTAAAATGATGTTGATCCCTTTGCTGTGCTTAATTCATAGGCTGGAAAGCAGTTCAAATGAAGAACGTGAAAGTGATTCTTATTCAGATCTGTCCAAAGAGTGTTTGGAATAGAATATCTGGCACATCATATTCCAATGCACAATCAAAGCCTAGTTTGGAGCCTGAAAGTATCTGGCTCAACCCATTCATCTTACAGAAACAAGTTTCACATATTTGCAGGATCTTGCTTAGGGCCTGCAGCTGTAGGCAACTGCCAACCCCAGGAAGGCTCCCAGAGGGCTAGCGCGCACTTGGGGGGAGCCATAGATGTTATAAATACTCGGGCCTAGACAGGTCTAACTTTTCAGTAAGCTAGAGGCCCCACATGCGGGCGCCAGGAGGCGGGACCGCTCGGTCACAAAGTGGTGTAGCTCATTCTTGAAGACCGGACACGACTCAGCTTAGTGCCTGCGGGTAGGCCTTTCTCCCTGTTTGGGCCTCAGTTTCTCCCCACAAAAGGGGTGCCTGGACACACTCACTCGGCGCCCCTGGGGAACACAGGAAAGGCAGGAAGTCTCGGGCCCATAGGTGGGGAGTTACCTCGAAACGGGGGCGTCCCAAGGGTCGCGCCCGCGCCAGGGCCCACGCGGACTAGGAAGACGGAGGTCCGCGCAGCGAAGCCAAAGAGGCCCCCGGGCACAGCATCGCTGCAGCGGGAGCAGTACCAGTTGGGGGAGGGAGGCAGCGTCCTCGGCTCCTGCTCCATGACTGACGGCCGCCGTGGATGAGGGAAGCAGCCACAGGGAAAGACAGTTCGCAGTCCCACGCCGTAGCCGGGAAAAGGGACTGGTGGACCTCGAGCCCCGCCTACTCGGACCGCCACTACGGCGCGCGTCGAGGCCCAGCCAGCACCGCGCGCTCGGTTCCCGCCGCCGCGTGGTGGGCAGGGCGGGACCGAGCTCAGCGCTCCGCCTCTCCACCTCGCCAGCAGCGGGAGGTCCGCCCCAATCTTGACGAGAATCTGGTGCTTCCTGAGCCCAGCCCCGGAGTTAGGCATTCTCACTTCCCACAGCAATGCCCATAATTAAGGGGTTAGACTGGTGGAGCCACCTCTCCACACTACCGGTTTATACTTTGGACCCGCTATCCTGTCCAATGTTTTTTGAACGTTATGTGCCAGGGTATTTTGCTAGTTCTAAAGATGCTTTGAAGATATCTACGGGAAGCCTATGAACAAAAACGGTACGAATCAGAAGTCAAAAAGGGAAGGAACAATTTTTGCAACTGGGTGGAAGTTCTGGCTCTGGGTTGTTGGTACTCAAAGATTAAAGAGAAGCCGAATGGAGTGACTCTCTTGATTTGCTTGATTGAGCACCAACTCCGGGAAGGGAACTGTATGTGTTACGTGCTGTGGAGGAAAAAGAATGGGAGTTTCTTTCCAACTCAGACCTGCTAAAATGCTCAGATTCTGCACTATTCCTGTACTGCTTGTATGCATGGGGTTATCTGGCACTTCTACATACGTAGCAAACCAAAGCCTGAAATACCTATCTTTAATACAGAGAGATCAAACATATACGACACACCTCGTGTATTTGGATGCGTCTAGAGGCACTAATTTTGGAGGCACCCATCCCCAGATTGGCCGCTGTTTTTGCCAGTTGTTATCTGAGCGGCTTTAACCTATCCTAAATATGTTTCCTCATATTTGAAGAACGAAGATGTTAATCCATTCCTGTTGGATTGCTGTGAGGAATACGTGAAATTTCGTGAAATACCTGTCTTGGAGGTCAGCCTGGAGATTAGCAGGGATTAGAACATCGTACGTATTTGAACTATTTAATCTTTAAAAGAACGTTCAAGCGATTTCAAACTTTCACGCGATTGATCTTTGCAACAAGCTTGTGCCGTAGGGATAGTTATTACTGAGTATTTTACCGAGGAGAAAACCTGAAGCCCGCTGGGTTAGGCGGCTTGTTCACGGACTCTGTTCCCTCACTCTTTTTAGACCATTTGTGAGGTGAGACTTCACAATTTTTTTGGATACTGGTGAATTTCCGGAAATCCGCTAGTTTCCGGACTTTATTAAGTCATTCATTCCTAAACAAGGCTGGTTACAGTTTAAACACCCGCCGCGCATTCGCGGTTTCCATGACACCACCGCGGGTGTAGGTACTTGCTAAATCTACTGATTTGGAAGGAATCCATAGTACCGCGCATGCGTGTTGTCCAGACAAAGTTTGAACTCGGAGGCTTCCGTAGAGAGAGAGGGGGCAAGATGGCGGTGGCAGCGCTGGGTCACTTAGGTAAGGACTTCTTAGTGGTTAAGGAGTAGAAGAGTCGACATGGGAGTCTGAATTGACGGCTTGTGTTAATGTTCCAGGTGCGTTATGGATGCAAAGCCTGAGGAGCCGGGGGAAGCTGGTCTTGGGGTAAGTGTCTGGCCTCGGAGTCTCAGAAGTGCCCAAGGCCGCCTTTCTAATGTGTCAGTCAATTACTGAGCGCCTATGTGCCGGGCTGGGTTTTAGGTTTTGAGGCCACTGAGGCGAACAAGACAGCCCAGATCTCTGCTTTTCACACCATTTCTCCGCCACTATATTGCATAACCTTGCAGGGATCAGGATTACCCATTACTGAGGGACCGTTGTAAATGTGTTTTCTGAACAGTCTCCTCTGACCTTTCTGGTCTTCCACTTCCATATGGGAGCATCCAACTTTTCTAGATTCCTATTTGGTTACTTGCTTATGTGGGCAGGGACTGTGTTGTAGATATCCGTGGTTTACATCATGCCTGACGTTGTGCTAACCGCTTTATATGCATTATCTCATTCTTATAACATCCTTCGTTATGTAGTAAGTACTGATATATCAATTTTTCAGACAGTTGAAGCCTCCAAACGTTATACAACTTACCCAAGACCACTCGATTATAGAAAGTTTTGAGGATTTATGCTGTACTCTCCAGAGCATTCTGTGGCCTTAGGACAAAAGCGTTCTTTAAAGGTTAGGGCATGCAATTGAGTCAGGGCTGTCAAGAAGCCTTTCCCTGCCATCTTCTCATAGTCTCTCTTCTGCAGTACAACTGTTTGATTCTGATCGGTGCATTTGTTAGCATTTATTTTGGTTTAGTTCATAGGCTTTAGAGACAGATAAAGTGGGTGTGAATCCACTTTTTAATTGTGATTTTGGAAAATTTACTTATTCTTTCCAAGTTTTAGTTATCTCTTATGTGATATGAGAGTAGTATTAATATATATGTCATAGATCTTTTTTATGAGGATTAAATGAAATAATGTATATGAAGTGTTTAGTATGGTGCATGGCATGTAATAATCTCGCCCTAAATCCTAGCTGCCATTAATGTTTTTATCATTATAAATTATTATTGAGTTCCTATTATATTTAGCCTTGTCCTAGGTTCTTGGGTTCTAGGGGGATGAAGAGTTGGGCTAAAGAAAATAGGAAGCACTGGCTCTTAGGATTTTTTTATGCTTTGCTTTCTTAAATTATTTTCTATCACTCCACTTCCAGCCATGCTGATTTACTTACTTTTAAAGAATATGCTGTGCATTGACTTGCTTCTTGGCTTTTTCATGCTGTGACCTCACCTCCTGTCTATAACAGCAGTCCTCCTCATTATTCAACCCCTGTTCAGATGTTTCCCTTCAGGAAGTTTTCTTAGATCTCTCTAAAACTGAAATAAATTAATTTCTCCTTCCTCTTAGCGTATATGCCTTGCATAATGGCTTCATGAACACGTGTCTGCCCTTTTCTAGCTTGTGTATCTTGGAGAGGGAGGGACAGTTCTTGTTTCTTTTTGTAGCTCCAAAATAGGGTCTTTTACAAAGTAAATATTTTTATAATGTTCGTTGATTTGAATTGTCTTTTTTTTTTGTCTTTTTTCCGTGTCCGGCAACGGATCGCAACCCCCGTACCGGACCGGGGACCGGCAACGGGATTGCAACCCTCGGTGTTGCTCCCGCGCCTCGCTCAGCCAGTGAGCGGGAACCAGTCTGTATGTGGGATCCGAACCCTCAGGCGGGAGCGCCGCCGCGCTTCCCAAGCGGCGCACTATCCAGTGCACCACCGGGCCGGCCCGATTTGAATTGTCTTGCACTGACTTATACTAGGAAACTCTGAGCAAAAAACTTCAGTCTTTTCATCTTGTCATGTGTACAAGAGTTGGGTTTTTTTTTTCCCCCCCTTTTTGTCTTTTTTCGTGACCGGCAACGGATCGCAACCCTCAGTGTCGCGCCCGTACCGGACCGGGACCGGCAACGGGATCGCAACCCTCGGTGTTGCGCCCGCACCTCGCTCAGCCAGTGAGCGGCCGGTCTGTATGTGGGATCTGAACCCTCAGCGGGAGCGCCGCCACGCTCTCTATAGCAGTGCGCCACCGGGCCGGCCCCAAGAGTTGGGTTTTGCTAGATAATCTCTAAGGCTCTTTGCAGTTTTAAAGTCATATAAGTTTTATGAGTCCCCATTCTGGACTTTCTAATGGGGGAAGTGACTGCGAAAACTAAGTAGAATGGTATAAATAGTGCTCATGGTAACCGTGTAAAATCTTACAGATTCTATGATTCAGTGTTTGGAAATTTAATTGCATATAGGCTCCAGACAGGCAATATAAATGAATGAACTAGGAGAACTTGTCTATGTAAAGTGAGAAAGAGTGGTAGGTCCTGTGGCAGTCAGTAGAATGCATTTCTTTTCTAAAGACATTGAATTGGGTTAAGAAAAAATACTGCTTGTATTAGTCCATTTTTGTTGCTTATAACAAAATACCAGAAACTGGGTGATTTATAAAGAAAAACAAAATGTATTGATTGCTTACAGTTTCTGAGGCTCAGAAGTCAAAAGTCCATCTGGTTGTCAACAGCGACCCTGGTGTCTCACATTGCAAGGTGGTGGAAGTAGAGAGAGCAGAGAGAGACACAAGACAGACTCTCCTCTTCTTTTAAAGCCCTCAGAACCACACCCCTGACTGCCATTTTTAATCAATTCACTACTGCAAGGTTCTACAATCCACTCACCCCTTCAGGGCTCTACCTTTCAATTACCATAATAGGATTTCCCACCTTCCTAACAGGCGCAGTGGGGACTAAGTTTCTAATACATAAAACTTGGGGGACACAGTTCAAGCTTCAGGGAGTTTTGGAGGGATGTAATTCAATCTACTACACTGCTGACCAAATAAAACTTTTCTGCAGGCTGTATTTGGTAGAAGACTGACAGCTTTCAGTCTTTGAGTTCAAATCTCCTATTTTACCAGTGGATCCATTTGAGAAGTATTGTAATCTATGGAAGGTTACACAGTTAGTAAATGGCAAAACTAGGATCTAAACAAAAAAATCTCTGGTTTTAGATAGTGTTCTATCACATCATGGGAGTGATGGAGTGATGGGCCCAGAAGGAGTTTGTCAGGGGAGTCTTTTTGGAAGAGGTGATTTTAAAGTTTAAGTTTAAAGAGTGAAAGAGTATGTTTTGGTGGTTAAGAAATAGAAGGGTGGCTAGCTGGTTATCTCACTTGGTTAGAGTGTGGTGCTGATAACACCAAGGGTTTAGGTCTCTGTGCTGGCCAGCTGCCCCTCCCCCCCCACCACCAAAAAAAAAAAAAAAAAGAAAAAAGAAATAGAAGGGCTAGTGTAAAAGTTTGAAGGCATGATAACAGGAACCATTTGGAATAGAGAGGTCATGCTCCCTAGTCTGCAAAAACCAGCAATTTTTTTTTTTTGGCTGTTAGCATAGATGATAGTGACTTTCAACTAGGGGACATTTGGCAATGTCTGGACACATTTCTGGTTGTCACAACTTGGGCAGGGGTGGGGGGTTGCTACTGGCATCTAGTGGGTGGAGGTGAGGGATGCTGCCAAACATCCTACAGTGTACAGGACAGCCCCGACAGCCCCCTATAACAAAGAACTATCTGGCCCAAAATGTCAATAGTGCAGAGGTTGAGAAACTCTGAGCATGTTACGGTTCAAAGTTGCTGGAATTTCAATTTTTTGTTTGCTAAATTCTTGTTTCCTTGATCAATTGTCCTTGCCCTTCACAAAATAAAGTTATTTTGAGTTCCGCAAATGTACATATCACTTCAGCCCCTTTATTTGAGTTTTTAATTGAGACTGGTAAATGGTGAGGGGATGTTCTTTTATTCAGTCTCAAGTGTAGGATTCACTTAATTTTCTCAGAAGTAAATTTGGAACAAAGAACTTTTCACCTTGATGATTATAATAGCATGATATTCTCAAGATAGAGCCTGAGGCCAGTATTGTCTTCACTTGGGACTTGGGTCTGCTTTGAACTAAATTTCAAAATGAACTTCACGTAATACGTAGGAAGTGTTAGTTCTGTTCTTCAAATTGTGATTTTAGAGAGTCCTCAGATACTCTGTCTTATCTGAATTAACTCTTAATCCTAAAATTTGATTTATATCTACTACTGTTCATTGCCTGACTACGGGCACAGTTTAAAAAATGTTACTTAAGTATTGGCAGGAAATCCAGATGCTAGTTCCGGTATACCACCTGCTTTGTGCGTGAGCTTTGACAATCTCACCGTACCATGGGCACCTGTGTGTATGTTATATGTATAAGCACCCTGGAGACCTGCTTCACACCTACCGTTCTTTCACCCAATTTATAGCAATATGATAAAGCTAAAGGGATTTGGGTTTCTTAGTAAATGAAAGGGTTTTATCGGTAATGATGATACTTGAATTTGAAAATGATAAAAGTTGATCCTGGGTTCTTTTTAAAACTGCCTTTCATGGGCCGGCCCGGTGGCACACTCGGTAGAGTGTGGCGCTTGGGAGTGTGGTGGCGCTCCCGCCGAGGGTTCGGATCCCATATAGAGACTGGTCCGCTCACTGGTTGAGCGCGATGCGGGCGCGGCACTGAGGGTTGCGATCCCGTTACCGGTTGCAATCCCGTTACCGGTCACGAAAAAAGACAAAAAGGAAAAAAACAGCAACAACAAGACAAACAAACAAAAAACTGCCTTTCAGTGCTTTAAAAAAAAAATTTTTTTTTTCTCTTATTTTGATTCTATAGATTGCTAACAGTAAACTAGAGCTATAGGTAAATCTAAAACTTGGTTGGAAGTTTTGCTGAAAAACATTTCTACAGAAGGAATGGATTCTAGCAATAACCTATGCCATCATTAGTTCATTCAACCAACTTCCTTATCTTGAGTTTGTTTTCTACACTTACTCTTCACAGGGTTTCTTACATAAAACGTCTCGTAAAAGCCTCAGTTTTGAATTAGTTTGAGTTTTCAATTTTACTTTAAGGTTACTTCATTTTACGTTTTGATTCAGTGTTATTCCAACAATTGGCCAGGAGAGGGCACATAGAAACGTTTGATTTAATGCACTTTTAAATTAAGTACACCATTTGGAATAAATTTTAATTTAATTTGATCACAATAGTTT